CACACTTTATTGCAGGAGCAGTTTATAGAATAAAGTCCCGTTGTCGGTAGATGGCAGCCGGAAAAAATCCGAGACAATCCCGGAAAATCGAGACATTCGGCCTATCTCCCTCTATCTCTCCCTCTATCTGGGATAATAATCTCCAAACTGCAATACAATAGTATAAATGTCCATATATAGGCGGATTCTTGCCAAATGTTAACATTTTTGATTCATGGGTCCTAAGAAACAAAGCAAAATACAGGTCAACACATAATCATACACATTCATGCATACAGAAGTTCTGTATCTGTGTTTTTGTGTTTTTGGAATCAGGAGACCTTAAAATGTCGAAAAATGAAAAAATTCAAGACTGTTAATATTCGACCGATTACAATACTTTTCCGGAAAGTAACAGTTTTAATAATGCATTTAGAAACTTTAAACACGATCAATAGTTAAAATATAATTAGATTTTATAATCTTAAAAAGTTACTAATACTTTAAATATTATATACTGTGTATATATTTTCTAAAGGCCATCTTAGTGCCTATAGAGAGGAAAGAGTAAGCATTTTACTCCGTAGGCACTAAGATAGCCGTTTTTCAGGCTCATCATGCGTTTGACTAGACACCCAATGAGATGACTGAGGGGTGAAAGAGAAGGCCCAGCATATCCGGTCTGGGTCTTTGACTTATCTGCATTCGATTCCGTCCCTTCAGAGCATTAGGCTAATGCCCTAATCTTCTCGGCTGTATTTAAAAAAAAATTATAAAAATCTCATTTACAAGGTGGTTTTTGCGAAGTAGCCTTCCATTGACCGAGTACATAAAACTTTTAAACTTTTGAGCAGCGGTGCCCACAAACTATAAAAATGGGAAGCGCAAGCAATAAAAAAAAGGGCATCGTACATCACTCAAGAAGCTTCAAACTGTATGATTCAATGTCAGGTCAGCGTTCCCACAAGGTGGCTCTGGTTGCACTCGGGATTAACTTGGCTTTGAAAACAAGGAGTGTAGTTTTGGTGAAGTACGACGAATTTTCATGGGATAATGATCAAATATCCTTCATTAGTTTCTTTAATATTTGCAGAATAGACGAGAAGTCATGGATTTTCTGTTGTTTGTTGATAATGGAATTTTGGCCTCATTGGAAATTAGAAAAAGGGCAACCGAGATGAAGGGAGTATATGCCCAATTCATCGCTGCCTCTGGTTAGGGAGTAGAGCCTCGCTACCTATGATTGGGCATATGCCCCGTTCGTCTTGGTCTGACCACGTGGAATTTTCCGGGGTTTTTATACGTTTGTAATGCCTAAATAGTTTCAGTTTCATAGTTTCAAACGCAGTTTCACATGGAAAGTCTTCCCGTAATCTTCCCCTAGACAGATGGCCCACGTGTCTTAAACAAATAACGTTACGTAGTGTTAGAGTCTCAATCATTGGTTAACAGAATGATTTTTTTTCCCTGAAGTGTCGCGTAACGAATCGCACTGCATTATACGTAATACATGTAATTAATAAAATAATGTAACGTTACATTATGTACTGTGTATTATTATTTAATACAGTTAATTAATTTCAAAATAATAAATTTGAAAATATTCTTATTAATTAATGATAAAGAAATGAAGAATTCGTCGAGCAATTATCTATACTACATATTTAAAAAGATGAAGATTATTAAAATCTCATCTTGTTTCATAATCGAAGATAGTTTTATTTTCAGTTAATAGAATAAAAAAACGTATAATTTATAAACTTTAAAATGCAATTTAATAATTCTTTGTTTTATTGATATTTTTTTGTATCGAATTTTAAAAGTCACTTGTTACTGTATGATAATTTTGATTTAAAAAATATATATTCGGAAAATAAATAACTTTAAAGTATATTTAATCGGGTAGAAGATAATTTGTCATTTTGAAATATTTATTTTCGGAGAAAGGAAAATTAAACGTTTATAAAAACTAAAATAACACTAAATTATGGTTGAAACTTTCGCCATCTTTCGGCAAAAAATTTAATTAACATTTATTATCAATTAAATAAGGTTATTTTTACTGTTTTTAGAATGCAAATTTTTAATAAGACCAACACATCAATTTGTTTATTTTGTTTTTAATAAAACACTGTTTAATGAAATTTAAATTAATTTTTTTTTAAATCTAAAAGCAAAATGCAAGTTTGTGATTAATTCTTCAAAGGCTTTATTTCGCATTTTAATTATAGAAAAATAAAATTAAAATCAATGAATATAATTCTATTAGATAGTTTATTTGACTCAAAATTATATTTTTCTTTATTTTTGTTATTTCTTTCATTTATAAAAATTCCCCGTTTAAAATAATGAAATATTAAATTGTAGATCAAAGAAAATTAATCCTAAATATTGTATGATTTTAGAATTTTATAGATTATAATACAAACAGAGGATTGCTGTCTTGAAACAAATCATTCGAAAGTGTAGCTTAATTAATTTTTATTTGATGATTAATTGTTTAATGTCAGCACTATATAATAATATGTCATGTATGCTATTTTAGCCTATAACATAGTATATGGCAGAATATAGCATTTCAATTATATCTATTACAAGTATGATTCACCTACAACAGAGTCGAGATCCCGATTAAGAGTTTGATGAACGTCTGGACTCATATTTTATACGCCAGAACCGAGTGGTTTTATCCACTTGGTAACTGGTGTTCACAGGTTTGCGCATCACCAACGTGCTAGACACTAGGTTTTCTTCGGGTGTCTAATACCTAAACAGTATATAATAAATATAATAAAATTTATCACTTCGCACAGTAATTTCTTTAATTAATTATATCGAGCAAACATATATTGCTTTAAAAATACTCAGTAAGCATGCCTTTTATCAATTAGAAAGGCACACTTGGCACATGACGGCCACCCACAGAATGCTTTCAATATGCTGTTAGTGTAATCGTTACAAAAAAAATTTAATTTGCGTAAATTTGAGCTTTTGTTATTCTGAACAACATTTCGAATGAAAATCATTCGTTCGAATGCAATTTTATCCTAAGAAGCGATACAAGCAAGGAATAGGGCCCCGCCAAGTTTTACCTATCGACCCGCAAGTTTCGCCAGCACCTCACTGATAACGAGAAAGGCTTAAGTTTAAAATTTGAGCTCCCTAGGCCCAGTGGTGTTCTTTCTCTAGGAGCATCTGCACCGCCAAATGAATAAGAAAGAGAAAATATACAGCTTTTATGGCGATCTTTGCACTTTTCAACTGCTTATATTTCGGCAATCCCTTTATAGAAAAACCTGAAATTTTGCACACTACCGAAGAAAACAAGTATCTTTCGAACGAGATATTCATATTTACTACAGACGTTTAAAAAACGGAGAAATCGGCAATTTTGATTCCTGTATATGAATTTTCCACTTGGTTCTGTGTGACTGTCGTAACTGTCGATACTGCAGAATGGGCTTTTTACTACGGAATTGATGAATTGGGCGCTGTAATAGTAGGATAACAGTTTTGTTGATGAATTTCCGAACACCTATTATATTTTCCAATTCAAGGCAAAACTATCGCATTCATTTCAATTACTTTATCGCGTTTTATCGTCTGTTTCTATATTTAAAATATTCATATTATTGTAAACGTAAATAATATACTGTCTATCTCCATCGCTCTTTCAAACAGTAGTCATGTTACCGCTAAAGCTCGAAATCCGTTAATGTGTACATTACCTAGCTAATCTGCAGATTAACTAGGGTGATCCGTTAAAGCTGCGAAAATTATTCCATTTCTCAAATTNTTCCGCTGGCAGAATTTAGCAATATGTTGAGGTGATCTACAAATGAACACTCTCTCCGTTTCATTACCTGACGATAGTTAGATCCATTTTCCTCAGTACCTTGAAGATCAGAAAGGCGCCGCAACTTTTGCGGATCATCATACGTTTGGTTAGGGATTTTCCTTTGCTTTCGAAATATAGATCATACTCTCTCGCGGGTTAAATCAGCTCTAGCCCTGACAAACGCTTATATGAGCAGTCGTGTCGACATCCAACGTCTGAAATAACTTATCCGACACGATTAGTTGTTTTAGAGTTTCAAGATCCTGGACATTCCTCAACTCACAATAATATTCCCAAGCTAACGTTAGTCTCTACACAAATTGCATGTGAGTCTCGTATAGCTCTTTGAAAATTTTTCAGACAGTATTGAGCTGACTGAAAAATTTTACGTCAGCTCAATACTGTCCATAAGTAAGTAGATCCTCATACATTGAAATATTAAAAGAACTGGGAAGGTAATATAGTAACATTCAGATCGATGTAAACTCTCACGCGTTAGGTTTAATTTAGTTATTAGTGACTTAGGTTTAAGTACAATTTGTTATCCATTCGTTTGTATATCTTTGAATATTTTTGGTTTATTTTATAAATATGGCGTGGTTAATGTTAGATATTCACACTTCTGCCTATTCAAGTTACTTACTTTCCTCAAACTCACAATTTGGTGATTACGCGTGTTAATCCGCGTTTAAGAAAACTGATTAACTGGTGTCGGGAATCCTGATAAGGAAAAGGGTGATTACGCGATCATCTAATTCCGCCTTTGTTTTACTTCTTAACTGTAACTCCCTCCACACTCGATTTCTTTGGTAAGAAAGCCATTCTTTTAGACAATCCGAGGGCTATTCAAACGGATAGCTGCCGAATAAGTGGTACAAGAGTCTTAACTATTCCGTATCCCCGGCTAGCCCCTCACACTCGCGTAATCCCTTAACTCGTCTCCGGTTATATAAATTAAAATGTTTTCGGCTTTTCCCCCCAAACATTAATCAGAACTCCGCTTTCATCTCCTCTGGAACATTCTTTAATTGGAACGATCACTCTAAAGATAAGAAAAATAGGTTCCAATTTTTGGACCTAGTTGGGACTGGCAGTGTTAATGTTTTTACGCTTTTAATTTTTTCAATATTCATATCCGGCCCATCACTAGGGTAGCTGTCCGAAAGGTTAAAATTATCATTACTCGCCCTGCTTTGATTATTAGTGTTAATCCGTGCTAGCTCTAACTCATGCTGGCGTTTCCTTTCCCTCTCGGCTTCTACCCGCTTCCCTTCGGCTTGTAGCCTTTCCTGTTCTTCCTTTTGTTTCCTTTCTAGCCTTTCAGCAACGGTTGAGGACAGAATTACCAATACGAAATCCGGATCATTAATAAAATCGTTACTTTTTATAATAAGTTCTCTTAACTCCGGTACTTTCTTACCATCGTCTACTGTGCCGCAAAGCTCTTCCGCCACGATCCGTAGATCTTTCTTTTTAAATCCCCGGATTTAAATAAATTCAAATAAAGATATTGCAACGTTCGAATAAAAGAATAAATCGACCAGAAGTTCGAAAAAACGTGCACAGAATGGAAGAAAAATTAAAGAAAACAGTTCAAATAGGAGATGGTCATGTAAATGAATTTGAAGAAGAAATTTGCGAGGACCAGGAATTAAAACGTATTGAAAATATGGAAGAAGATTCAGAGTCAACATTAAAATACGAATCTGAATTATATTCGAACTATTTGAAGAACGAAATTGATCAATTTGAAATTACTTTTAAACGTCATACAGAAAAAATTTGCAGTTTAAAGAAAAAATTTAATTCACTTATTAAAATTATTGAAAGTGATGATTTTTCAAAGTTGTTTGAATCCGAGGAAGATCATTCGAACGACAAAATGGATGTCGGAGAAGAATCGATTTGTCTGTCCGAAGCGTTCGACAAGGCTTTCTCCTCCATTTCTCGTCTAGAATCGAGTCGTGATCCCACCGTTTGAAGCAATATCAAAATAGCCTAAAAGAAATTAAAAATTTATTAGAAGCTACACACATGGTGAATCAAATAGGAATATTTAGTAAAAATGAAGACATCGAAGAAATTTCTACAGCTGATATTAAATATTTGTTATTACCGGCTCTTTTGGGAAGCGTGATCACAAAATGTACGTGTACTAATCGTAATGAAATATTGGATATTTCTGAGATATATTTCAAAGATTTCTTGAAACGATGCAAAGAATACGGTATAGCAGATGTAATAATCCCCAATTCGTCAGAATTCTCCAAAGACTTATCAAATAACGACGTCGAATACGCTCTGTTAAAACGGAGGGAAAAAATCGCTCGCTACAAGCTTCAGAAAGAAATGGAAAAGAAAATTGATAATTCGAGAGTGTTTATGGAGCAATTAAATGTAGATGAAAAAATTAAGAGGGAATACTATTTACTCTTGATTAAAAAATGGATAGACACGTCTTTAGAAAAATTGACAAGTATTTATAACGAAAAACTTATTTTGAAACAAATGCCATTATTAAAAGATCAAAAATCTAAAGTTACGAAAGAAGTTTCTAAGAAGTCTTTGAAACCTGTCATCATTACAAGAAATGAATTACAGAAGAAAATGTTTGAACTTGACTACCCGAGCATTCCTATAATGACAGTTGACGAATTCTACGATGAGAAATATGGCGAAGGAGGTCAAAATATGCCCTCGTCCAAGAATAGTCTTCAGCAAATGGCAGAGAATCCCGAATTAGCACAAACAGAAAAAGAAAACGAGGAAGAGGAAGAGGAAAGAAAACTTGACGGCGATGATTCGGATGGTTCGAAGAAAGCTAGAGAATGGGACGATTGGAAAGACGATCAACGTCGTGGATGTGGAAACAGAAAGAATATGAGATGAGTGAAAGAGAACCTATTTTTATAGCTTTTTGTATTTAATTGTAAATAAACAAATCTTTGAAAAATAACGTTTAGATAGAATTGTCGCTGAGACTATAAAATATCGGAGGTAGTCGATTAAGGAAACGCGATATTGCGTAAAACTGTAAACAAAATAATAGAACGCCAGCATTCAACATTATTAATCAAAACCATTATAAATCTGAAAAAGATTTCCTCATCATCTTAAAAAGACTTTCCTGAAGCATCGCCGAAGTGTTGCTTTGCCATAACTTAATAAAACAAATAAACGTAACATGCGTATAATTTATGGTGGCAGCTCACAGCTGCTAACTTAAAGCAGAAATAGTTTTAACGAAACGGATGTAATCGACTTTTCTAGGAAACGCGGCCATCATTGATATTCATATACATTTCTAGAATGTTCTGTGCTTCTCCTTTGTGTTTTTCCTTCTGCCTTTTGTATTGAATTTAGGAGCAATAAACTCAGCGGAGGAGGCTGGAGAAAAGGATATATATACCGGTGGAGCAGAAATACGAGCCACTTGTTGAAAAATCTTCGTGTGTAGGACTACGTAGATAACATTCAACGGTGAAAAAGATGTAAGACAGAGGTGTCCATGCTCAATGGCACTCTTCACCATTTATATCAACGTTCTTTTAAAGAAGATGGTGGGGAAAGTAAAATTAATTTAATATACATTCCTTGAATGCGGGGAAAAATTAAATTTATCGGTCATGCGGATGACGTAAATTTTTTCGTCACTGATAGTGCATTTCTAGCAAGGATATAGGCCTATATAATGTTGTTAATGATTTTTGTAAGATGACGGAGATGGAAGTAAAAACCTAATATTCTCGTGTTTTGTGATGATTATCTCGTTTAAAGATGAATAAAAATTTCGATTTTATCACGACCCCCTTACAACCGAAAAAAGAATAAACTTCAGTATAGTGACCACAATTTTATCTACCTTTGTAATTTACGTGAGCGACGGGGTATAATCTATTAATAAAATTGAACTTTTGTTAAATTAAGTGTCCGAATTTTATAGATAAAAGCTTATATATCGTAGGGACATTTACGCTCTGAAATATAAGAAAGATAATGAGATCTATTGAATGACCCGACATTCCTCTTAATGAATGATTTATTTTTACATTTAGAGCGAATTACAAATCTCATTCTAGATGTGTAAAGTAATATGTTAGACAAAAGAAGAGAGAAAATAGCCTGCATCGCTAATACGATTTATAATACAAGTTGTCCCCCTGGCTTCTGACAGATAGAATCGAAACACGGAGAATAGCTGATAACCCCATTTATCAGTTATGAGTGTAACTGATAACTGAACCATAGGCAGTGTTGCTCGCTCCCATCCATTGCTTACTCTGTATTCAAACTCGTCTCTTCAACTATGCAAATTGCCACTGGAAATTAACTTTCAATACGAAGCAAGGAATCTCCTGTACAACAGCATTATCTTATAAAGTACTTGGAACGGAGAAGACCTGGGAATACCGGGTGCTACTGTCACTATTTTNGATAGACCCAAAAATTCCAAGGATTGCTTAACCGGATTCAATCTCAGATGCCTAGGAGTGATAGTCGCCATCTATATTGAATATCAGGCTCTTCCGCTTACTCTGTATTCAAACTCGTCTCTTCAACTATGCAAATTGCCACTGGAAATTAACTTTCAATACGAAGCAAGGAATCTCCTGTACAACAGCCTTATCTTATAAAGTACTTGGAACGGAGAAGACCTGGGAATACCGGGTGCTACTGTCACTATTTTTTTTTTCTTTCATTCTTCGACGTCTAATAAAATTTATCACTTTGCGCAGTAATTTCTTTAATTAATTATATCGAGCAAACATTTACTTTCTATAACCTCCCATTTCCCATATATTGCTTTAAAAATACTCAGTAAACATGCTTTCTATCAATTAGAAAGGCACACTGGGCACATGACGGCCATCCACAGAATGCTTTCAATATGCTGTTAGTGTAATCATTACAAAAAAGTTAATTTGCATAAATTTGAGCTTTTTGTTATTCTGAACAACATTTCGAATGAAAATCATTCGTTCGAATGCAATTTTATCCTAAGAAACGATACAAGCAAGGAATAGGACCTCGCCAAGTTTTACCTATCGACACGCAAGTTTCGCCAGCACCTCACTGATAACGAGAAAGGTTTAAGTTTAAAATCTGAGCTCCCTAGACCCAGTGGTGTTCTTTCTCTAGGAGCATCTGCACCACCAAATGAACAAGAAAGAATAAAGATACAGTTTTATGGAGATCTTTGCACTTTTCAACTCCTTATATTTCGGCAACCCCATAAATAGAAAAACCTGAAATTTTGCACGCTACCTAAGAAAACAAGTATCTTTCGAACGAGGTATTCACAGTTACTAACGTTTAAAAGACGGAGAAATCGGCAATTTTGATTCCTGTATATGAATTTTCCACTTGGCGCTGTGTGACTGTCGTAACTGTCGATACTGCAGAATGGGCTTTTTACTACGGAATTGATGAATTGGGCGCTGTAATAGTAGGATAACACTTTTTGTGTTTGAATTCCCGAACATCTATTATATTTTCCAATTCATGGCAAAACTATCGTACGCATTTTAATTACTTCCGTGCGTTTTATTGCCTGTTTTTATATTAAAAATATTCATGTTATTGCAAACCTAAATAATACACTGTCCTTCACTCTTTTAATAGAGTTTATCGATTAAAAATTTAAAAATTCTAGTAACAAGAAGTAATTAAATGTTTTAAAACCTCAATTTTATTTTGTTTTTCTGCGTTATTCATTTAAATAAATAAACGTTCATGATTTTAGATAAATTTTGAAGTACTTTGTAATGTAAATTATAATAAAACCAAGAATTTAAAATAGGAATAGTTATCAATGAAAAAAACTACAGCGCAAATATCATTCGTTTCGAGAAAAGTAATCAATAAAAATTAAAAGCTATATAGGAATTTCTTGAAACTTCAAAGAATTTTCACTAAATTTGTTTTCTTTATTTTTCTTTATTAAATTCTAAAATTGTATAAATGATCTTCGAATTTAAGGTTTCTGAAATAACTTATTTATAGTAACTTTTTCCTCACTAATAAATCCTTCTGATTATTCGGCACATTTTCTATTTGATGCTGACAAAAAGACATGTTTTCATGGAGAATAATCGAATATCCTTTTCTATGAAATATCGTAAATTATTATGGACTAGCAGACCCTGCCACGCGTTGTTGTGGCTCAAAATGTATCTATTATAAATTTATAACACTTCCCCCGTGGGGAGGACGGTAATTTTTCGAAAAATTTCTTCTTAGTATACATTCTCTTGACGTACCCTATTAAAACGCAATCAAAAACGCAAAAACCCGCATCTAAAATAGTATAAATAGAAGCAAAGTTCTTTACCGTAAGCCTTAATCCTAACCATCTCTGTTCAGTGGGGTTGAATTTCGACACGTATATTATATAAAAACACATGCGTATTCGAATTCAGCGTTGTGTCAAAATTTTAAAGGAATCGGTAGGAACAAACGAACATTACAT